TAGCAAATGCTAATGTGCACATAGTCAATAACCTTGATGTTAAACTGATGTCATTACATATTGACTTCCCAGTTTCCCTCTTACTTTTTAATGCTCTTAATATTTAAGTTGTGAATTAACATATTTCATTTTCTTTATTTTCTTTATTTAGTTGTACTCTAAATTGCTTCCACTCTCATCCCTTATACTTCTTTAGATCCGTGGCTCTTTAAAAAGTTGGACCAGACTGTGGTGTGCCTTGAAGCCTGGGGTTCTTCTGATCTATAAGACCCCCAAAACAGATCACTGGGTGGGTACCATCCTGCTCAGTGCATGCAAGCTGATCGAGAGACCCTCCAAGAAGGACGGCTTTTGCTTCAAGCTGTACCACCCACTGGATAAATCAATCTGGGCTGTCAAGGTCAGACATATTTGTAGGTTTATTCAGTCCAATTAAAATTATGTAATCAAAAACAGTTAGATTTTAATTGACAATTTCACTCAGCATTAGGACAATTTAATATTTTGTGTATTTAGACAGTTAAATCTGATTTTATTTTTGTTTGTGTAGTAATAATTTTACTTCATTTTACTTTGTGTGGGGAAAAAAAATCTGTCTTGGGTGACACCTAGTGGTTGTATTAAAAAGAAACTGGCTGTCTTCTTTTTTTCCCACCTTAAATGTTATTTCTAAATGATAATTATCTCGTTTAGTGCTGCATAATTCTCATGACCCTTGGGAGAGCCATTTGTTTCAATTGGTGCAACATGAATACACAACATGAAGCATGAGTCAGTATTTGATCCATATCCTCAGGGTCCCAAAGGAGAGAACGTTGGCTCCATCACGCAGCCTCTACCCAGTAACTACCTGATCTTCAGAGCTGCATCTGAGTCTGATGGTGAGGCATCTGAAGGTGCAGCTTCTTGCATGTTTGATGAAACTATATATGCAACCAAACTGATCAACCCTTCTTCCCCTTAAAAAAAAAAATCTGCTCTCCAGGTCGTTGTTGGATGGATGCCCTGGAGCTGGCTCTGAGCTGCTCCAGCCTCTACAAGCTGACGGCCAAAGCTGGGAAAGAAGGAGATATCAGCACGACTTCAGAGTCCTCCCATATACTGAACCTGCTGCAGTCCACGGCACTCACTGATACAGAGCTGCTGCAGTAAGTCATAAACTCACATAGCTAGATCCATGGACATATGACTGATTTCAGTCTTTCTTTTATAATTTGTTGTTATTGGATCACCGATGATTCCTGTATTCACGCTTTGCATAATTTCCTTAGGCATTAATAAAGTATTCTGATCCCGATTCTGATTGTTGACCATTTGCCCCATTATTTTTTTTTTCATATCACTGTCAGAAATGCCCATGGTACTCTCACTTATGTGATAAAACAGCTGAAATTCAGGATAAAGCCCAAGAATGTCAAATCCAGATTTTATTTATTTATTTTATTTATTCTCTTTTAGGGCTGCCACGATTAGTCGACTAGTCACGATTACGTCGACTATCAAAATCGTCGACGACT